ATAACGCGTAGGCAGGCGTAGAACGTCGAGAAAAAACTGTTCCGTGCACGCCATGCTTGCACCATCCATTCGTGCCACGAAGGATTTCTGCCTTTTGCCAGTTGAAAGTTTGGTAACGTGATTGAAGTCGTCAGAGTTGTAACATACTAACAAAGCTTCCAATCTCTCTCTTGTGTTTATTTTACACATGCATTTTCCTGATTTCTTCTCGATCCGGTGTTGTATTGCATTTTAATCCATTGTGGTTTTGCCCGTAACAAAAGAAGAGGTTTTTTGAGTAGAAACACAGCGCTGTGAAATGACTCACGACACCACTTGAGCAAAAGCACAACGCCATGAAGTCTCGACTGAGTCACGAGTACGAGTCTGACTCACTACAGATTGGTGTTACGATGCACCCGTACAGTACCGTTTCGGACAGCGCTACTAGCGCTCGCACTAGTACTAGTAATTTACGGCTTTATGCGTCCTTATGTCTACTTGTCACTTGCGAAATGTGGCAGTGCTGACCGCACAAGGAAAATGTCAATGAAGCGCTGTATGACGACATTTTCTGTGGTCAGTGGCCTTCACCTTTTCCTTGCGCGGTCGGAGCAAGGATGTTTCGTAACTCTGTAGCATGGCGACTGACTTGCGCATTCGCACGATTCACGAGAAACTGAGAGGCCCAGAAGAAGGAAGAACCAGCTTTTACAGCTGCACTTGACAACTTGGCTGTGATGGAGCTGATCTAGCCCGGCTCCACGGACACGGACAGAGAGACAGACAGAAAGGCAGAGCGAAGCGAATACGTGCACGGGGACTTGCACCATCTACGATCGATGAGCAACTAACTGCCTTGGCTCGTCTCCCCTGAGTCCCCTCGCATGTCTCTATTCGCCTCTATGACATGTATATTTGTATATTTGTAATGTTATCCACAGTGACCTGTGTGGCATAGCGGCGTGACGAGCGTTGTAGTAGGCAGGCACCAGTCGACTATGTTGAGGCTACCAGGGCACCCTGGCCTTGCTTGTCTCGGACACGTACATGTCTACCCCTGGATGGGAGTCGGCACGAAGTCTTTTTCTTAGAGCGCAACTCCTTGCTGCTGCCTATTTGACATCGAATTTAGAGACGAATGGTTCGTAGTTTCCTCAGTGAAAGGCGGATATCGAAATTTTTGTTGGAAACGGAGCTGCTGGTCGCTTTTTTCTGAACCATAATCCTATGCTGCATTGCAGTCCAAGATTACTATTAGATCGCCTACAAACTGCTACTTGCTGTGATCAGGTCATCTTCCCGACTCTAGCTCCCAGTAAGTGTCCAGTACACGCTATGTTGAGACAAGAAGCCTGTTTTTCCAGCTTTCAACTTGAGTCCTTTTGACCTGAACCATGAGCGAGCAGTCGTCGGGGTTGCAAGTGCGGAAGAAATCTGGCCTCAAACCGCCGAGAATCGAGCACTTCTGTGTCGTGGTTCGCGATACTACCCACTGTGAAGATGAAGAATTACAGCTCAAAGACGGAACTCATGTTCTCGTGCTCCCGGGAGAGGCGAAGAAATCCCCCACTTTCAAACGGCTAAGGACAAGACTTGAAGGCGACGGACGTGGAGATTGGGTCAAAGTGGAATATTTCGACGACGATGGACAGCAAGTCCATCGCTATGTTGACACTCGTGATCTTCGTCCGGAGACACCCATCAAGGTGAAGGAAACTGCCAATTATAAGAGCAAATATTTTCAGCTGTCCGAAGGCGAGCGAGTTCGAGTCCTTGGAAAGGCCACACAGGCCAGTTCGTTCATGCGGAAAGCAATTGAATGTCAAATTCCAGTTCCGCAGTGGGAACACTGGGTCAAGGTGCAGCGTATCGACGGCGGAGGTAAACTTTATAGTCAAATTCGCTACGTCGATGGAAGGAATCTCTCAGAGTCGCAAGTAGTGGTCGCTTCTTCACGTGCAGGTAAGCTGAGCAATAAGCAAACTGCAAGGTTGGTTGTTTTTTATTTTACTTCGCACATTCAAACGGGATGACGAAAATGATCAGATGATGGCGAAGGCTTAGCCTAGAAGTGACCATGGTGACTATGGAAGAACATAGTAAAGGCTATGGAAGAACATAGTGACTAGGATACTAATAATTGCGAGTAAACGGGGGGGGGGGGGGGGGGGGGAGGATATGATGTATCTGTGATACTACATGAGGATTACTGAACTGCACGGGGAGGGAGAGCAGAGCTATCAGCAGTAACTCAAACTACTCCCTACAGGCGTATGGTACACATGCATGCTTAAACTCAGGTAGCCGGGTAATCGTGCGGACCTCACCAGGGAGAGCGTTCCACAGCAGAGCACCAGCAACAGAAAATCTCCGCTGACCGCAGCAACTACGGTTTGCCTGGCTTAGTAGGCCATTTGGCTGCTGATGGCGGGTAGGGGTGCCTTGTGCCGGGGTCAGAAGCTGGGCGAGCACAGGGCTGGTGCGGGCGTGGATGCACCGCCAGATGGTAATCAATATTTTCTGCCTGTATAGCTCGCTGACACGGTACAGGTGTAACCCGTATACTCTCAGTAGCGTCTTCCCAGCCGAGGAAAAAAACGCCGACTATTTTTCCGCTGCCACCATTGTAACCCCCTATACTCTCAGCACTCAAGACTCTCAAAGCACATACTTGTAGTAATACGTACTTCCTCCGTTAACAAAAACTTCGTGATGGACTTTTGAGGGACTGGTTTGCGCACAAACTGCCGTGAAATGAGTCGTGATCACTTTCTCGGCCTTCCCTGGCATGCCATGAAAGAGGTATGATGCGAGGAAAGCGACCTTTCACAACAAGCCGAGCGGAATCGATGGTTGCGCTGTGGCAACATAGGTACTAGGTGATGACAGTCGTGGCGAGCGAAACTGAAATACCACTTCTCCGAGGGACAATGCGCTGCTTGGCCTCTCTACTACTCTAGCACTGAGTTAGAGAGGGATAGGGACTTATGGAACGGAGCAGCGAGCCCACACAATGAGCGAGTGAACAAGGAGCTGATCCGATCGCACGGCGCAATGAAATAAATTTGAATTCAAGTAAGTTCTTGTTCAGCCTGCGCAAAGCCCAGATTCGAATGCTGATGACCATGAATTCGTTTAGAAGTCTGCAGTCCGACGCGAGTCTCGTGGCTAAGGAAAGTCGACTGGACTTGCTAGCCGCTGCCGTTCAGTGCTGGTAAGAGTATCGATCAGAGAAATTGGAACCCGTTTGGCTGGGACTTTACTCCTCGTTTCGCGGAGTTCTGGAGAGCGGAGATGAAACCAGGGAGTCGTAAAATATTTGTACAACTCCGTGGTGGAAACGAGTAATCGCCACCGCGGCGGATCATGCAGATTGAAAGCCAACTTACTTGAACCACAGCGACATCAAGTTTAGCGGAGTGTGATCAAAGAAGCCGAGGCAAGACTGAAACGAGCTGAACAACGACTCTAGAGTAGAGAGCTGACGACTCGCGTGCAGCAGATGACGACAGCGACGCAGGGTCAAAAATGAGTCGAGCGAAAGCGACGCAAACTGAACTCTCTGCTCATTCCGCCAACAGTTTCTTTAGTAAAGATGCTGTACATAGGCTGAACTACCTTCGTCGAGTGATTTGCAGTCGATACAAACTGTTCTTGACCTGTTCTAAGCGTTTTCATATCCATCAAAATCCATCACGAAGTTTTTGTTAACGGAGGAAGTAAGTTATCAGTGTTCATTGTCTCACAAGGAGAAGAAGAAAAACAAGGCAGTGCGAGTATGCGCACAGCTATCCAGGCATTCCGGCTACGGTGTACTATTTATGTGTATACAAATTACGTGTCATAAAGTAGCCATGCCACACAGGGAGTGAGCAGTGAGCAGCGGCTGTATGGCTGTCCGGAGCGGGCTGCCATCGGTACAGCGAATGGCTCTGTTTTGCGCGGTTTGCAGTTGTTTCAGTTGAGCCTCTCGCATTGCGGCTGAAAAGCAGCAGGAGCCATAAAGCAGGTCGGGCATTATGACCGCCTTCACATACACCTGACGAGAGTGTCTTTATAGGCTTCCGCGTGCATGCCACAGGGCGCCAATTTTCTTGGCAACCTTGGTGAGCACATAGTTTACATGGGTGTCCCAATCTAGGCGATTGTTCAATTAGTCAACAAGGTGCAGTGTACTGCTGTAGTCCACATGCAATCGTCGTAATAAGATTGGGGCGCTAAGTATAATTAATTGTCTTGGTCCGTGGAGGCTGCAGCCTTTCGTTCGTCAGACATTCCCAATCGAATGTGAGTGTTGATGTGATTTGATGCTCGTGTATGATCACGTGACTATTACGTCATACATGGATATTTTGTCTGTATGTCACGTCACAACCAGAATGCGCCATGGACTAGTCAGTCGCCCCAAGTGCATGCTTGGCTTGATCTTGTAGTCTGTTCTTTGACTCGTCTTCTCCACACATCGGGCCAGAATAATGACAAGCCAAATGGATTTTTTGCCAAGCTTAGCATAATGGGCTGTCTCAAGAAGAAGAAGAATTAGTGTGTATGTATGCACGCATGCTTGTGGTGGTGTGTGTGTGTGTGTGGGGGGGGGGGGGGGGGGGGTGGTGCGTTCGATGGTGTGCTCGGTTTTCACGTGTTCCTAGCATGGTAGTGTAGCGGGAAAGTTGCGGTTACCACAGAGCCTCCCTGGATTTCTCTGTTGAAACTCAAACTTGTTTTGAATGAAAACCGTCACCTGTGTTTAATCATTGTACATTCTCTTTACTGTTCATTCTGGATGTGCACTCTGTACTCTGGCTAGGTGTGGCCTATACACGTGTCTCTTCGACATCAACATCGCCGAGTGATGACAATTCTGAGGGCGGGAGTGCTCCAGTGTCAACTAACCCTGCGTCTGCGCAAGCGTCTCGGCAGAATGTAGCATCTACATGTACTGCAACTGTCAGCCAGATGGGACATCAGGAAGTACCACCCAATTGTGGTGATCTGGTTGGTTCTTCTGAACCAAAAGCTGCCCGTGGAAAACCTGTAGCTCCGGGCACAGTCAGTGGCAGTCTTTCCAATGGTGGTCAGTCCAATGGTACTTCGATTGGTTCATCTGGAGCAGTATCGGGCAAGAGTAAGTCAGTAGTACTTCTTTTAGGTGTACGCCTCGCATGCATATGAGTGCTGTAATTTTTGCGTACGGTGGAGCTCGGATAAGACGTACCCTGTCGGGGAATGGAAAAAAAGTACGTAGCATCCGAGGTACTTCTTATCCAAAAATGGCTCCTGCGGCTCCACAGTCCACAGATACGATACATGTACAGTACAGCCAAACCTCGTTAGGATGAACAAGTTTGTTTGTCCTATCGAGAGTTCTTCTTATTCAAATCTGGCAAAAAAATTGCTATGCATATCATATGGATTGTGTTAATATGTGAAGGTGCATGCTGTGGCAACTGTAAAACATTTTTCATAACATAACCCAGCAACAGGTAAATACAATGTGCAATGAATTCATGACAGCATTGCATCTGCCTTGTAACATGTTTTGCCAGTATAAGAGGCCTCGGCTATCGGAAAACAACTACATCCAGCGTACCCATGGGGACCGAAAGGTCGTACTACACGCTGATTTTGTTCAACTCACGCTTGAAGTTAGTTCATCTTCACGAAGGTTCGCCGTACAGTGTTCGTCGTAAACGAATAATTTTGACTTGATATGATGTCTGGCCAACCATAGAATTGGCCCTAGTTCGTACTAAAGGAAAGTTCGCCTTCTCAGTGTTCGTCCTAACGAGGTTTGACTGTATGTCAACATGCTCAAAATTCTTTCTTGCACTGCGAAAATATGTACTGGTAAGTGCGCCAAACCAGGCTTCCCATGCTGCAAACAGCCTCCTCCGCACATTCAACATACCGTATTTCCGCGAATTTAAGTCACACCTTTTTACACTACGCTTCTCTTTACTGTTCATTCTGGATGTGCACTCTGTTCTCGGGCTAGGTGTGGCCGATACACGTGTCTCTTCAACATCGCCGAGTGATGACAATTCTGGGGGCCGGGGTGCTCCAGTGTCAACTAACCCTGCGTCTGCGCAAGCGTCTCGGCAGAATGTAGCATCTACATGTACTGCAACTGTCAACCAGATGGGACATCAGGAAGTACCACCCAAGTGTGGTGATCCGGTTGGTTCTTCTGAACCAAAAGCTGCCCATGGAAAACCTGTAGCTCCGGGCACAGTCAGTGGCAGTCTTTCCAATGGTGGTCAGTCCAATGGTACTTCGATTGGTTCATCTGGAGCAGTATCGGGCAAGAGTAAGTCAGTAGTACTTCTTTTAGGTGTACGCCTCGCATGCATATGAGTGCTGTAATTTTTGCGTACGGTGGAGCTCGGATAAGACGTACCCTGTCGGGGAATGGAAAAAAAGTACGTAGCATCCGAGGTACTTCTTATCCAAAAATGGCTCCTGCGGCTCCACAGTCCACAGATACGATACATGTACAGTACAGCCAAACCTCGTTAGGATGAACAAGTTTGTTTGTCCTATCGAGAGTTCTTCTTATTCAAATCTGGCAAAAAAATTGCTATGCATATCATATGGATTGTGTTAATATGTGAAGGTGCATGCTGTGGCAACTGTAAAACATTTTTCATAACATAACCCAGCAACAGGTAAATACAATGTGCAATGAATTCATGACAGCATTGCATCTGCCTTGTAACACGTTTTGCCAGTATAAGAGGCCTCGGCTATCGGAAAACAACTACATCCAGCGTACCCATGGGGACCGAAAGGTCGTACTACACGCTGATTTTGTTCAACTCACGCTTGAAGTTAGTTCATCTTCACGAAGGTTCGCCGTACAGTGTTCGTCGTAAACGAATAATTTTGACTTGATATGATGTCTGGCCAACCATAGAATTGGCCCTAGTTCGTACTAAAGGAAAGTTCGCCTTCTCAGTGTTCGTCCTAACGAGGTTTGACTTTATGTCAACATGCTCAAAATTCTTTCTTGCACTGCGAAAATATGTACTGGTAAGTGCGCCAAACCAGGCTTCCCATGCTGCAAACAGCCTCCTCCGCACATTCAACATACCGTATTTCCGCGAATTTAAGTCACACCTTTTTACACTACGCTTCTCTTTACTGTTCATTCTGGATGTGCACTCTGTTCTCGGGCTAGGTGTGGCCGATACACGTGTCTCTTCAACATCGCCGAGTGATGACAATTCTGGGGGCCGGGGTGCTCCAGTGTCAACTAACCCTGCGTCTGCGCAAGCGTCTCGGCAGAATGTAGCATCTACATGTACTGCAACTGTCAACCAGATGGGACATCAGGAAGTACCACCCAAGTGTGGTGATCCGGTTGGTTCTTCTGAACCAAAAGCTGCCCATGGAAAACCTGTAGCTCCGGGCACAGTCAGTGGCAGTCTTTCCAATGGTGGTCAGTCCAATGGTACTTCGATTGGTTCATCTGGAGCAGTATCGGGCAAGAGTAAGTCTGTACTTCTTCTAGGTGTACGACTCATATGCATGTGAGTGCTGTAAATTTTGCGTACGGTGGAGCTCCACAGATACGATACATGTACACGTGTAGTATGTCAACATACTCGAAATTCTTTCTTGCACTCCGAAATGTACCGGTAAGTGGTAAGTGCGACCAAACCAGGCTTTCCATGCTACAAACAGCCTCCTCCGCACATTCAACATACCGTATTTCCGCGAATTTAAGTCACACCTTTTTACACCATGCTTCAAGGGCAAGGAAGGGTGTGCGACTTTCAATAGAGTGTGACTTCTTACTGAATGTATTGAAACAATATGGCTCGGACCTGAAAAATGGGTTGCGACTTGTACTCGGGGAAATACGGTAGTAAAGTACCTGTCAAGCGAACCTGTTACGTGCACATACGAAAACACCAACATAGTATGTAGTATGCGAGGCTAGGACTGTGTTTACATGAGGCGTTTCGACCCGGTTTGAGTTCGACCCAGGTCGAATTTCAACCCGCCATGTTCACAGATTGACTGGAGCGTTTACACGACGCACTGCACTTGACCCGGGTTGATTTCAACCCTCATCTTGAGGGGAGGGTTGAAATCAAGCGCCAGGTTTGCACACGCAAATGTTGCGCGAACCTTTTTCGAGTTTGACTTTTCATGATGGAGCAGTATGGTCAGTGCATACATTTACAAGTACCGGTACATGCACGTGTTGTACTGCACTCGTTGCAAATCGTTTTCGATTAGGTAATTTAGGGTCCTTTCGTCGGTTGTGCTGCATCAAACATGTGCGAGTCATGCAGATACATACTTTGTACATGTTTACAGCCTTGTCTGTCAGTTTAAGTAGTCAGAAGGTCGCTTGGCCGAGCCAGCGGTCTTGCTTCGGGAAAATAATTGATTTTAACCCTCAGGTGCCGGTAGGTCGATTTCGACCTATGCTGACAGTGCATACTAAAATCGAGCACAGAGCCAGTCTCGTGCATCGCAGGTGCCTGATTTTTTGTACAGAGACCCTTCAGTAGCTGGCCTGTAGATAGCAATAGAGAAAGGAGGGGGGTTGCATTTGAAAAAGTCGAGTCGTGATCAACGACGATCGCGCAGATCAGCGGAAGTCAATCGAGCGTGGCAGCCTACGCACGCGTCCCGCAACATGAACAAAACGTTGCTGTTTCGCTTCGTTTTCGACTAGTACAGTTCATGGCTACTACAGCTGACCTCCGTCATGGACGCTGCAGGAGCGCTTGAGTTGTTTGAAGAGCTGGAGGCCGATGATGCCTCTGTAGAAGAAGAATCAGAAGACTACGATGGTGAATAATCTGACGCTCTTTTCCCTGGCGGAAACCTGCCGTCATCAGATGAGGAAGACCGACTCAACGATGATTTGGTTTTCGGTGAATTTCTTGAGAACAGCAGCTCTTCAGACGAGGACAAAATTTCCGACGATGAGCTTCAAGAAGCTGTAGGGCGAGGGCAAGCGCAGCCAGTTCGTGGATGCGCTCCGCTCGCGCTGCGCGGAGGAATTGCTCGCGGCGCTGGTCGAGCTCAGCCAGCTGATGGAACAGCTGATCGTGGCGTGCGTGGCGCGTGTGGTGGAGGCCGTGGCGGAGGCCGTGGACGAGGTAGTGGATTCGGCGTGCTGAGTGGTGTTGGCGACCAAGATGTTCTTGGACTAGCGCAGTACCCTGACCCTATTGTAAATTTTTCTGACTTGAAAATTCAAAAATCGGATTTTGCTGTGTCTTGCCATTCAGAATACATACTTTTGTCACTACATCATCTAAGGCCGATTCCACACTACGCCGAAAGTGGCTTTGCCTTGAAGGCATAAAGTGGCTTATAAAGTGAAGCTGCATTCACACCTACAAGTGTCGATCACGGGACTTTGCTTTGAAGGTTAGACTGTGAGGCTTTCCTGTGCTTGATCTAGCAACGGCGGTAGTGGAGAGGCTCTTTGTTGGGCCAAATCCTCGAATATCACCCATTTTCGCGTGCCCAATCTTGAAATTTGACCACGCTAGCGCGCTGTGTAGGCGGATTCCAGATCATAGGTCGAATATTTGTCAACCTCGCCAACAGGCATTCCGGTGGCAGTTTTCGTTGTGTATGTCTCGTACAGTCCTTTCGCCTTCGTTTTCATGTTGTCGATTTTGGAATGGACGATCGACGCAGTGTATTGCCTCCTCCCGGAGCTGTTCAGCAAACAAATTCAGCTTGATGGCGATCTCCTCCGGCGTAGCTCCTGCGAACTGTACCGGCCGGAGGTCGCCTCAAATATCCGCTCCAAAGCTCGATCAGCTTGCCCTCAAGCTCCTGGCTAAACATGACCCTAGGCATTGTTGACAGCTCACAACTCACCACGACTGAAAGATACGACAGGGAACACATTCGGAAAAAATCGAAAGGCTGAAGAAAAGTCAGAAAAGTGTCCTGAAAAGGTAAAAAGTTGCCTTGAAAGAGGGTGCTGGTGTTGCTTTGTAGACAACAAGCACTTTTCACTTTCGCGCGTTTCTCAAAGTGATCACCATGGCAACTTGCCTGAAAAGTGCCTGAAAAATGGCTTTTAGGCAGGATTTGGTGTAGTGTGGAATCGGCCTTAACGGTTGCGGAGATATAGGCTTTCCAAAAAATTGAGCCAAAACTACGAAAAATCTAAAATTCAGTCAGGCACCAAAGGGTTAATTGTCACCAGTGATTAGTTTCAGCCTCATATGTGCTGCACTGGCAAGTCCACAAAGGCCAAAATGGGAAAGAGCTCCAGGACCTAAAACTGTCAGATCCCGTATTGTTGTGAGCATTGGATCGAAGGGTCGTGACCATGAAGAAACTGCACTGTTTGCCAAAAGAGCAGCGTTCTAAGTAGGCCATGTTCGCACGAAAAAATGACTGCGGCAACCTGAAGGAGTCCAAGCAATTAGGCATCGAACAGCATTTAGTGCACTCACATCACTTTTCTCTGTGCCATCTGTTATGCTTAAATCCATGGTCTGTACATGATCTGTACGCCATACGCTGCTCTGTGTGTACTGCACATTGTACATGCATGCACTCTACACTGTTGTCAACTGCTTTGCCATGTGTACATTATTCTGTAGTGTTTGAAGCAAAGTGCGTACTCTGCCAGCGACCGTTGGTCTGTACACCAGCTATGTCAGTTATTAGTTTCCTGATTTCGAATAGTTCCTTGCTTGTCGTTCTGAAGTATAGATGTAATAATTGTACTCTTGCTCATGTAGTTCTCTGTCTATCTTATTCTGTATTCTGGCGAATATTACACCACCGACTCTGCTTTCCAGAGACAAGATAGTTAAAATGCTATTTTCCGTGGTTGGATTCACCCTCCCTTCCTAGTATTGGCTATGTATTATTATGTGCCATGAAGTGGAGATGATAAAATAAAATAAATAATTGTCGGTTTTGTCTACAAGAGCCACAGTGTTTCTTCTGCATTTGTTGCAGATGCATGGCTCACTTTTGACTGTCCATTGTGGGCAATTCAACATAATACCGAGGCTCTCAGCCCTAAACCAAGTGCATGAAGTTCAGGCATGGCGCCATCCTCACTCTCAAATGTAGAAAATGTCTGTGGTCTCATCCTGCTTATGTTTGGTTGACAAAATCATTTGAAATAGCATTGGTGCATTCACGCACTGCTGGGGGGGGGGGGGGGGGTACTGTGGCTGCATGACGTCACGGCAAGGTGCCCGAGCTTCACATATCCAAATCAAATCATCTCTAGGATGCTTCTTCGGAGAGATGTAGAGATGTGGGACTAGGACTGTTCAATTGAGCGGAATTTTTCATTTTTCACCGGACTGACCCTCTAGTCCAGGGTTGTTCAACCCCCTAAGTTTTGTACCACTTGTACCACTGCGATTCACTACTTGACTCAACCTTCGGCATTCGACTATCTTTTAGTACAGCACATCTGATCACCTAAGGCCGGACTGCTGGTGCCGAGGAACAACGGACTATGCGCAACCAACAAATTATGCACATGCCTACAAGTACAACATAAAAATATGTAACAATGTAACATCTATAACTGATCTTTGTAAGCAAAAAGAACATGCTGCAGCACTTAGGTCATTTTCTTGAGTCTACACCCCCTTGTTCATGAGTTGTTTCTGCACTTTTCATGCCCATTTGTCACACTTACATTCTATCTTTATCTTAGGCCTCGTAACCTGTTTTCTCACTTGATCACTTTGCGAACTTAGAAGTTGCGACTTCAGTCAAGTGTCAAGTTCGGCAAGAAGCGTGTGTTCCTAGTTGGAACAATCAACTTCTTGATAACTTTAGTTCCGTATTTCCAATGATGATTGGAGCTTGAAAATTGATTCTGGATACATAATATTTCAAATGTTGACCAAGTTGTCATGTTGCGTGGTGATGTCTGCGGCATTCATACTTTTTATGCTGTTGTTAACCATCTATAACTGCTTCTCATTGTTTCATCAGTATTTCTGTTGGTGTTGTGCTGTAATTGCTCATGCAGCAACTCTCAAGCAGCTCTCTGCCACGGAAGCCTTGCTGAGATTGCCACACCCTCCAGACTTCATTATAAAGGAAACATCTGAATGGACGATCACAGCTGGGCCAATTAGTCCGGGCGAGACAGCACCGTCGAGGCTGGTTGTTGATGCCAGGGTTTCAGCCATTGAGGAGCATTATATCTTGACTGGGCTTGAGCAAGGCACCACATACCTCGTTTCATTGCAGCGGCAAGGAACTGACCGTGTGCCAATGCAGCTAATATTTTCTCAACGTACGTAATCTGGTAGTAACCAACGCTCAATAGGTTACCCTCTTACATAATTAATTATGGCTAGATAATTGTATTTGATTGCAACTCACCTGATGCCTGACACCCTTTGGATCCTAACTGAGGCAAGTCACGTCATTGCTGGAAAGCTTAAGTTAGGCCCGGGAAAACATGTTGAGGCATAGCTCACTGTTACGGGTATCACGGCAATAGCAAATTCTGGGCTATGTTGTATCACATAGGTATGAAATGAATGTGGTAACTTGATGTACTTCACCTGGATAAGAGGACCATCTGGCCAACGTGACCACTTTTTCCAGTACCTTGGGCGGTCATTTTAGACACTTTTCACTGTACACAGAGGGCGAACATACTATTGCTTAGAGGTGCATATGCATTCTTTGTGACTTCTCCAGATGGCAAGCTTGAAATTTCACAGCCTTCCCGTCGATCAATAAAAATCAAGTGTCCTGCTGTGGATAAGAAAAGGTTCAGTTCTTACAATATCTCTGCGTTTGAAATCGATGATTCCAAAACCATTCGGGCAAGTGTGGAAGTGAATGAGTGTTCTTTTAGTACAGACCACTCATCAACTACCTGTGAAAACCTTCAATGTGGAAAGTCGTACCGAGTTGTTGTACAAGCTTGCGGAAATGATACTGAAGCCGCTGAATTCCACGAGGACTTTGTTAAAGGTATGTTAAGAAGTGCCCCTTCATTCATGTACATGTACCATGATCCCACTCATAATGTATGTTATTTTTTGCTAAGTTCCTAAGTTCCTACCTTCTCAACCCGTCACCACCCTACGCTCTCAGCCGAAACAATGCAGGGATCATAAACACACTAGCACAGCAAGGACACTTTCGTTGACAGATAATTGGTACGCCTCTAGACAGCTGTTTCGCTCCTTCGAGCTCATCAGTAGAGGATTATAATGCTGATAATGGAGTGTAAAGGAATGATCATTCTTATATAGCTTTCACACTATTCTCACGTTTAGCAGCTTTACTATGCCAATTTCCTTTGTGGAAAGCGCGCTCTTGCGCAATTTCTGCTGTATAAGAATGATCAAAAGAATGACAAAAATATATTATATTAACTGGTTTTGAGGGAAAGAGACAAACGGGAAAAGTCTGAAGAAAAAATTGACTGTCACCACCAGGACTCGAACCAGGGACCCTCGCTTGTAGCCAGCATTATATCAAAATAAATTCTGCTTGCCGGGCCTTCCCATTTTTTTCTGAAAAAAAGGACGATCATCAAGTACAGTATATTCTTTGGCCTGGCCTAATCTCAAATTGGCAATTGAGCATTCTGAAGTTGTCCATGGCGCCACTCTCATGAAATTTTAGTGGATCAGGCTAGCCCCTACCAGTCTCCTCCATTCCCATTCTCATCTGGACGTCCCGGCAACAGCCGTAGGACCTGATGTATAGACTGCTCGAGGCCTGGAAATGAACACAGCTTTTTGAGCAAGGGATTGCGTAACTGTTCGAAGGGATGGAGCCGCATCAAGCTGGCCACCGCAGGTTGACCATCCACTGTTACTGAGACAGTGTGGATAGGCCGGGCCCACAGGGACAGCACATAGATAGGAGAAAAGCTGTGGCATGCGCACATTTGCTTGTACACTCATATCCCTCAGACCTCTGAAGCACATTAGTTTCCAGATGAAAAGATAGTCTCGGAGAAAAGATAGTCTTGAGTGTTTCAAAGGCCATACTGGCTTAATCAGCTGTATTATGTTCTGGGCACTTCTTTTTGTACTGCAGCGGGTGACTTCAGTGTCAGATACGAAACAGCTGGCTCAGCAGTTATCGTGTTGCATCCTGGACAGTATCCAGCCCAGTATCAAACTGTTCATTGGAAGGTAGCTGGTACTACAACCCCAGGGCCTGGAAAGGTTATTGACATCTCTAAGGACAGCGTCAAAATTGAAGGCCTCAAGGCAGACAAGGAATACATTGTTGAACTTAAAGGCGAGGGTACTTCCGATCTATTGGCACGCTACACCCATCTGATGGTAGAAGAAAGTAAGAGCATGTGCTTAGTGCTAAATGTAACTGTAAGCATAAAACCAGAACAAGATGGAAGTAGCTAGGTGTCTGCTTACATGATCTATGCTTCGAATCCCGTCAGGCGAAATAGCACGTCATAGTACATTCGAGATCAGCGGGAAGAAGATGACGACGTCCACTAATTTAGTATCTGTGCACACGAATCTGCTATGTGTGTTACTCTGTGTGTCAGCTATGGCATCATCGCCTGTGGTTCCATGCCTAGCATGTACGTCTGAACCATCCTGCAAAGTTTGAATGACGTAGGCATAGCCAGCAATCGCATGTCACCACGTACTTTGAAAATCAACATAATTTTTCGAATCGACCTTTTTTCCGGATCACTTTTCAACGAGGACGAAGCAAAGTCGGCCGAACGAAGCCTAGAGGAAGAAAATCACCCTCTCCACTTCACCATCACGATACTGACATAGATACGAGATGAAACAACTAAAAAATCCACAAGAAAACTGTACGGCCATCATCGCGCTGACTTTGGTCTGACTTTGGTCTGAGAATTTCTATCACGATCAAAAATATACGAGGAGCACTCAAAAATAAGCCACAGACATACCTTTATCGCTCTCTACTCCTTTTTCAAGGCACAAAAGTCGAGTTTCCACTTTCAAACCAGGAACCAGACATACCAGTGGTCCTTTTCAGCTGGTCCACGTGCGCAGGAAAGGTTCACCAAGGGGCGCAGAGCAGCATCCATTCCAGAAAAAGAGCTAAAATACGAGTGAGACTGCATGACTGAGTACATGAGTACATGTATGAGTACATGCAGAAAATAGTCAATTTCAGCGTTTCTGCTCCAAACAGCAACTAGCTTCGACTAGAAACAAAGATTACACCAAAGGATCAAACAACAACCATTTTCTGCAGTTTTTTTGCAGATGGCTTCCTTGTGCTCGGCCCAGAACCCAAAAATCACACCTCGGAGGAGTACAAAAATTACAACTCTCAGATGTCCTCCATTGCTGGCCATGTTGAGCGATCGCTCCGCGAAACATACTGTCGTCGGGGGTTTTTAATCCCTCGCACGATAGCCCTTCCGATTACTCTCTTATACATCACACGCACGCCACACTCAGAGGACAGGTTATTTTCGTCTTACTCCAAGGAGAGTCTCAGGAAGAAGGCACCCAAAAACAACCAGGATGCGCACGATAAGCATGCAAGCATGCGCACAACAACAAGAACATGTACGATAATCTCCAACCGGCGCAGTCCGCGCGCGGTCCGCACCAACGTGCCAAAAGGGGCACACACGTGCCAAAAGGGCAGGGACAACATACTTCCACATGAAAAAAATGCATCCTCTCCTGAGGATGGGAGAGAAGAAAACAAAACGAGAAGACAGACAGGAGAAAAAGAAATCAAATGTGAACAACATACACATGCAGATACGCAGGGCCAAAACAGTAGGATACCATAGTAACTCCGGACAACGGGGGAAAAGCCAAAGCAAAGGGGTGGAAAGAAAACAGACTGGGCCCACCCATAGAGGGAACCGCCATCTTTCAGGCGTGGGCCCCCGGAAAACAACCACCTCGCCCTGGTGCGAAGCCAAGGCAAACCGATGGTACGGCGAAGACCGCGGCAGCTGAACCGGGTGACCAGTCATCTGACAGCACAGGAGTTGTCCGGAAAACCATCACGCAGCCGATGGGGCTACGAAAACTCACAGATACACACACAGAAAGAAAGAAACAAGGACTGACGCAAACATCTCAGCAATACTAGGAGCCAAAATTCAGACAAGAAAAACCACAAGAAGGAATGGCAGAACAGCAACGTTGAACACGCCTACGGATACAGGGGCAGTCTATCCATGAGGACACCAGATAGCACACAAACAAATCGGTCACCAATACGCAAACAAAAATTAACATAGAAAAACCACAGGGCGCTACCCTGAATAACCACAGGCCTCTAACCTGAAAAAACCACAGGTCTCTAACCTGAAAAAACCCACAGGGATTGAACCTGAATATCACGCGTGAAACACAACCGCTCACGAAACACAAAAAAAACACCGTCCTGAACCCTACTGGGACGCACAAAGGCCAGCCAGCAAAACACGGAAACCGAACACCCGCAAGGCGAACCGATACAAATAAGCGCTGGATCCCACCAGCCCACCAGGCAGACCGTGGCTCACCATGATCGGACGCCCCCCTAGGTGAAATGAAGAGACCCACGTGCCAAAAACACAAATACCAAACAACACGCTCACAGAAATATTGCCACCCGAACCGTCAACGAGAATCTCAGAAGCATGTTGCACCACTGGGCGTCAGCCATTCCACATGAGCGGGACAACCAGGCGGAGCACTAAAACGCTCGACACAAAACATGAATACTAGTAAAACGAAAAAGAAAGCACTTGTACTTGAAACTGGAAACGACGGAGTGCCACCACATCGAGTAAATCGATGGGGACATCTACCAAACTGAAACAAAAAATCAGACGACACAGGATCGGAGCAGTCCGACGACACCGAAACGACGTGCACCAGTGCACAACACAGGGCGAGTAAGCAAACACGAGCAAAGCTACCCATGCTGACTACCATGATGACGTACCAAGCAACACGATGAGCATGCACGACAGAACGGACAACAGAACTTTCAAGTCAGAAGGTGTGAAAACACAGTGCACACGACCACTCGAACAGCCAGAGGCCGGAGGGCGACAATGTACACTGGTTCAAAACACCGCACACACAACGTGGGCCACAATCATGTACTAACAAGAGCGAGGCTCGAACGAGGTACTTGTACACAAGAGAACAACCCGGGACTTCAATGCCACGAAGCGAAACAATTATTTTTAAAATCCCAAATCGAAGACTAGTACCAGGAGAACTACGTACAAGGTACCAAACATTACGCAGGGCAGACAAAGCATGCTCACCTGAGTAGGAGCTCCGAGGACAGGGTTGAGCAGATGGAGCAAAGCGGAGCCATGGCGAGGACGCGTGGAGAAGACAAGATTTGAAGCCACGGCGAAAACGAAAACGATCTCAGGGTCGTGGGAAACGATGCCACTAGCTGGGCGCCAATTGTCGTCGGGGGTTTTTAATCCCTCGCACTATAGCCCTTCCGATTACTCTCTTATACATCACACGCACGCCACACTCAGAGGACAGGTTATTTTCGTCTTACTCCAAGGAGAGTCTCAGGAAGAAGGCACCCAAAAACAACCAGGATGCGCACGATAAGCATGCAAGCATGCGCACAACAACAAGAACATGTACGATAATCTCCAACCGGCGCAGTCCGCGCGCGGTCCGCACCAACGTGCCAAAAGGGGCACACACGTGCCAAAAGGGCAGGGACAGCATGAGACTCTTAATCTCAGGGTCGTGGGTTCGAGCCCCACGTTGGGCGCCAATTGTCGTCGGGGGTTTTTAATCCCTCGCACGATAGCCCTTCCGATTACTCTCTTATACATCACACGCACGCCACACTCAGAGGACAGGTTATTTTCGTCTTACTCCAAGGAGAGTCTCAGGAAGAAGGCACCCAAAAACAACCAGGATGCGCACGATAAGCATGCAAGCATGCGCACAACAACAAGAACATGTACGATAATCTCCAACCGGCGCAGTCCGCGCGCGGTCCGCACCAACGTGCCAAAAGGGGCACACACGTGCCAAAAGGGCAGGGACAACAATACCTTTTGAAATTCTCTTCATAGTATATCTTCCACCATTGAAATTTCGAATTTCTTCGATTTTTGCTGAGAGGGGTGGCTTGCAACCTCGATATGGCTTGTTCCAGGCATGCTTTGGAGCCATCGCCTGTTGAAACAATGGCGGGAAGCTGCCCTGCAACTGTTCCAACAGGAAATTAATCGATCCGAGAAAGCGCGAGTCCGCGAATCTCGGTTGAATATTGAGTATTTCAAGCCGCGAGGCTTTTCACGACGAAGATGGAGTTCTTTTTGGAGATGGACGTCGCGGCAAAGGACATGGTGTCCGACTTCTGGCGTCTGGTGAAGCCAGGGATCATTTGTCCAGTCAGGTCGGCAGCCTAACCGTTGGTAAGCTTGTGTTTGGATCCCGTTCTGCTCGATGTGGCAGATCACAAACAATTTGATATCGCACAAATTGATCTCAGCATCGTGCGTACGGTATTTTATATTCAGAAAATCCCAAAGTGTCTCTGTATGGCCGTCCTATGCCACGAGAAACTCCAATCAGGCTCCTATGTCCTCTGCCTTCATGATTGAATGTCCACTTCGTTTGAACAACGAACACAACAATCGAGGACGGCTTTGCAATGAAAAATACAGCCATACAGGAGCTGAAAAAAAGAAGAAAAAACGTGCTCATGATGAGACTCGAGTACATGCATACTCTCCCAGCAGGTGAAACGCAAATTTTTGCGAAAAATGCGTGTCGCCGACTGACCAGTAATTTCGCCTGACGACTATAATATCAGCCAATGTTATTGTTTGCATATCTGTGTGTGCCCTCAACTCAGGGATTCGCTATATCTCCTCCAGACAGACCTCTTCCACTACATGTGAAATCATACTTAATGATAAAATGGTGCGCTCACCAGGAATAAGCAAATGGATAGTTGAATTGAAAAAAGCTGATTCCAATTTCCAGCCTATCGAAAACTCATGCAGGGAGATTGAGTGGCCCAAAGGAGAAACACGGCTCAACATTGATGGACTACAGCCAAATGTCTACTTTCTGTCAGTAAAAGCAGCTGGACGAGATGACCTGGAGATTGCGGCCATCTTCAATCAACGTAAGTGCATGGCATTTACTGAAAAACCTGTCAAACCAAATTAGGTCAAAGTGATGACATAGCAATTAACGATTACTATAATGCAAAGCGTTGTTTGCCTGTAATCGGGGCAGGGTATGGAAGTTAATGTTAGCTTACACGTCGTCCTACCGGTAGGACCCAAGAAATAGCTCTGCTCAGTGCTTTCGGTTGAGAATCGTTCAACAAAAATTGTTGAGAAGAAATCTTTGTATGTCAAAGCAATGGTATAAATTCAATACCATGTCTGGTGCATTGCGTGTCGGTGCAGTTTTGTAATTCAAAATGGCCGCACATACTCCGGTCTGAGTGCTGGCAACTATGCCAAGCATGGTTTTTGACCATGACATATCGCGTATGATGAGGATTTATGGTCTTTGTTGCTGCATGACAGCACTGACTCACAGCACCCTTTTCGTTTGTGCTTTGCCCGATTGGGCACCCACTGTAAAGAGCACGATACAACACTTTTCCATACATGTCCGACTCACTTTCCACACTATTTTTCCTATAATCCCACAACTCCCGAGAACAGGGACAGATCAATAAAGAACACCTTCTAACCAACAAGAGAATTAGGAGCTTGTGTCTGTGACGAGGGTTGTGCCACGGGGCACTAGGATCTCACGAAAACATTGGTCCTTCGAGCCGGATTCTCTGCGGAGAGGGTCCGGCATCGCCATACTCGAACCAACCAGAGAGCTGAGGAGCGTCGCGGATCGACGCCACAGCGAACCTATGTACACCACACGGAGTGGCCGTCTGTCTCGTGCACCGACGCGATTCGGAGACGACGACAACGCAACAGCAGCAGCGGCAGCCCAGGACGACGCCGGCAAGTCAACGCAGATGGCTGACATCGTCAAGACGGAACAAGAGGCTGAGCTAAGTGAAATCACTCGAGGTGGAGCTGGAGAAAGCACCAACCAGTTAGGTCCTGGTCTCCACACACCAAATAATTATATGCCTGTTTGTTCTGCTGTTCGTAATACTAATGTTAGTAGTTCCACGAATGAGTTTGTTCATGAAAGTCATGAAAACAATTTTGAAACATGTAATGTTCCCTCTACAAGTAGGCCGTTTTCATATTCGCACACACGCACCACATCATGTTGCTGTAGATTTAGCACCTCACCAGCCGTACGCTGGCCAGTCCTTTTTAGGTTCCGATTTGCATGACACTCACACGCGCTCTGTGACCCCGGCTGTTCCTTTTTTGCCTCATGCACACCAAAAGCGTGTCCAGTACACAAACGACGCGCAGATCGGCGAAAATGCAGGCCTTGCTGCAGCCAGCGCAGGGTACCAAAACGGGAGCAGGTCGATGAGCGCTCGTTCACTCACCACTTCATCAGCAACGTCTTGCAGCAGCCGGCGCTCGCTCCGCTCAATCGACGAGCTCGACGCGGAAGCGGAACGTATCGCCGCGGAGGAGCTTGCAGAAGTAGAACGAAAGCTGATCCGCAAGAAGCTAGAACTCCAGAAGAAGTTGAACAGAAACCGGTCAAGCGGCAGCAGTAATGCCAGCGTCCGATCAAGTTCGTCCCGTCGATCACGGGAGACCGGCAACGGATCCGAGCTGACATGCGCGGATCGCATTAGCCTAGCTGAGCGCGCACAGCGCGCCGAGCGCGCGGAGAGAAACATGGGAGCAGCGCTTGAGGAAGCCAATGGTCAAATCCAGGATCTGTTACTGGACCACCAAGTCCAAGGTGAGCAGGCTTCAGGGAACGAGCCCAATGGCACACGTCCTACCCCTACAAGTGCAAGGCAGTCACACCCCATGAATCTCACCACCCACCATTTCATGGCAAGGCAGTCCACTGCCAAGGACTTGCCTCAGTTCTCTGGACATGCTGACGAGTGGCCAGCATTCATCTTCGCCCTGGAGCACACGACCAGAGAGTGCGGATTCTCGAACGGGGAGAACCTTGGACGACTGCAAAAGGCGCTGCGCGGAAAGGCAAAGGAAGCTGTACAGGGGATGATGACTCTCCCCGACAATGTAGGGGAGGTCATCTCCATCTTGAGGATGAGGTTCGGCCGCCCGGACCAGATTGTCCAGAATCTCATTCTGAAGACGAAATCACAGAGAGGCATGAAGTCGGAGGAGGCCATCGAGGTACTGATTGAAATCAGCGCCCTGTGCCGAAACCTTGTGGCCACTATGCGAAGCACAAAGTGCACCGGCCATCTCTACAACCCTCAATTGGTCAAGGAGCTAGTTGGCAAGCTGTCTGGGGGGCTTCGGATCCAGTGGGGAGAGTACGTGCTTAAAACCGGCACAGACCCGCACCTGGACACCTTCTCTGCCTGGCTTCAACAGAGGGCCAAGGCTGCATGCCTAGTCGCTCAGCCGAGCCCATGTGACGTCACTCATGCCACTCCACGCACAGGCCAAACGTTCACAGTCGTGGAGGCCACCGCCGGTAAGCCACATTGCCTATTCTGCAGCAAAGCTGGGCACACCACAAGTAGCTGCCGTCAGCTAGCCGCGGAGCCACTTAACGCCCGTCGGCAGTTCGTTAGTGACAGACGGCTGTGCTTCCGCTGCCTTGGCGAAGGCCACCTGCCGAGGGTATGCGAGGAGAAGGCCTGCTCGTGTGGCAAACCCCACCATCCGCTACTACACCGTGATGGCCGCGGAAGTGTAGCACCGCTAGGACGCATGTCAGAGACGACATACACCTCGGCAACCCATGTGTCGGAACACAGTGGAAGGGTGCTGCTGAGGGTGATTCCGGTCACGGTACGAAACGGAGACACAGCGGCTGATACATACGCACTCCTGGACGAAGGCTCAACAGTGTCCTTGATTGAAAGCGAACTGGCGGAGGAACTTGGACTTGCAGGACCAACGCGGCCCCTGAGGCTGTCATGGACGGATGGCAAGCAGCACCAGGAGTCCAGCTCCAAGGTAGTAACATTCAGCATAGCTGGCAGGCAGAGACAGGACAGCTTCACCTTGACAAACGTCCACACTCATGCCAAGTTCAACCTGCCAACACAATCAATCAACCCTCAACGGCTGAAAAACTGCCCCCACCTGGAGGGACTTGAACTACCAACGCTGTCTTGTGCCAAGCCCAGACTCCTAATCGGACAGGATAATTACAGCCTGATCGCACCACGGGTGATCGCGGAGGGCCCTCCAAACGCACCCGTAGCTACACAGACCAAGCTAGGGTGGGTTGTTCATGGCAAAACGATCGCCGACCGCTGCAGAATCGATGAAGGCGTGGTCCTCTCCACCTGGGGTCTCGACAGCGACCTCCATGACCTGGTCCAGCAGTCGTTCGCCCTAGACTCCCTCGGGGTCAAGCCTGCGAAAATCCGCAGCAAGGCTGACGACCGCGCACTCCAGCTGCTAGACACTCTCACCACGCGTACCGGACGCCGGTGGCAAACGGGGCTTCTCTGGCGGGAGGACAACATCACCCTTCCACGGAGCAAGGCAACGGCTGCCCAGCGTCTCGAGCAGCTGGAGAGGCGCCTGCGGAAGGATGACACGCTTGCACAAGGCTACCAGAGCAAGATCGACAGCTATTTGGAACAGGGGTATGCCCGGAAGCTGTCACCTGAGGAGGCCACCCACCAGCCAGAGCGGACATGGTACCTGCCACACTTTGCTGTGTACAACAAAGAGAAAGGCAAGGTGCGACTGGTGTTTGACGCCGCGGCAAAGTCGCATGGAAAGTCTCTAAACGACTTCCTCCTCACCGGCCCCGACCTCCTGACGCCGATCACACAAGTTCTGTACAACTTCCGACTGTATGAGGTTGCCTTTGGTGCAGACATCAAGGAGATGTTCCACCAGGTGAAGATGCGTCCCGAAGACCGTCATGCACAACGCTTCCTCTGGCGCGACATGGATGCAAGCAGACCAGCTGATGTGTACCAGATGGACGTGATGACGTTCGGCGCAGTCTGCTCACCAACCGCCGCCCAGTTTGCGAAGAACATCAATGCGCACGACTTGGCTTCCGGAGATGCGCGAACCGTGACAGCCATAGAGGAGTGCCACTATGTCGACGACTATTTCGACAGCACCCCAACAACCGAGGAAGCTGTAGCACTGACTCGCAAGGTGATGGACGTCCACGAGGGGGGAGGGTTTGTGATCCGTAACTGGGTGAGCAACTCTCCGACGGTCCTCGAGAGCCTTCCATCAGATCTGAGGTCACCAAGAATCGTGAACGTCCACAGCCACGACCTCCCCATCGAGAAGACCCTGGGCCTCCGATGGGACCCTGCGAAGGACACTCTTGGCTTCTCCTGCGGCACGAAGCCAGATCCAAAGGCACCAGTCACGAAGCGAAGCGTCCTGCGACACACAATGTCGGTATTCGACCCACTCGGCCTGGTGTCCTGCCACTCCATCATCGCACGCATGCTTCTCCAAGACGTGTGGAGAGCTGGCATAGGCTGGGATGATGAACTCCCTGCATCTCTTGCACTGAGATGGACAGATTGGGCTGCAGAGCTAGACCAGGTGGCCACCGTAGAAGTGCCACGGTGCTACACACCGTTGATTGCAGTCGCTACAGACATCCAGCTGCACGTGTTCGCTGACGCAAGCGAGAAAGCATACGGCGCCGCTGCGTACTTGAGAGTAGCGAACCACGGTACTCAGCTGGCAGTGTCCCTAGTTGCAGCGAAGGCACGCGTTGCTCCACTGAAACCGGCCTCGATACCCCGTCTGGAACTCCAGGCTGCGGTCCTCGCCTCGCGCCTATCCTGTACCGTACGGGAGCAGCTGCGTATTTCAATTCCACGGGTCATATTCTGGACAGACTCCAGAACGGTGCTGTTGTGGATACGCTCGGACGCCCGGCAATTCAAACCATTTGTGGCCCACCGGATCGCGGAAATAACAGACACAACAGAAGTAGATCAGTGGCACTGGGTACCGACAAGACTGAACCCAGCCGACGACCTCTCCAGAGGCATCTCTGCCCAGCGCTTGCAGCCGGACGATCGCT